TGTTTACCAAAATGTTACATTTTTTTCTTCAAAACAATGCAATGCCATATTTGTAAATCAATTCATAAACAGATACTTTTAAATCAGAAAACAGGACACACAACATTAGGAATCTCTAGGTACATGTCTGCCAGTAGGCTATACAAGCACTACCAAAGTCATTTTACTGGTATTAATCAGAAGGATTGACACCTAACCGCGTAGGTTTCTGGATTTTCACCAAAGACACACAGACCAACATAGATAATACCACAACCACACTCTTTAATCAGATTCACCAAAGTATTTACCTATTTTTCTCAAAATGATACATTTTTAAAATGTATAAATATGAAACGCTATCCAGACATCTAATCCCATGAAAAAACAAACACAGGATACATATCCAATCCAACCAAATAGTCCGGGGGATTCACAGTCCCAGGACTCAAGTCCGATGGATTCTAATCCCCCCTTTTCTAGTCCGTCCAATCAAACACACCCATAGTGAATGCACATGAATGCTGTTTACCAAAATGTTACATTTTTTTCTTCAAAACAATGCAATGCCATATTTATAAATCAATTCATAAACAGATACTTTTAAATCAGAAAACAGGACAGTGGATACACAACATTAGGAATCTCTAGGTACATGTCTGCCAGTAGGCTATACAAGCACTACCAAAGTCATTTTACTGGTATTAATCAGAAGGATTGACACCTAACCGCGTAGGTTTCTGGATTTTCACCAAAGACACACAGACCAACATAGATAATACCACAACCACACTCTTTAATCAGATTCACCAAAGTATTTACCTATTTTTCTCAAAATGATACATTTTTAAAATGTATAAATATGAAACGATGTTCAATACAAGATGTATGAGTAATTTGTTTCAATTAACCTAATACTCATGCAATTTTTACAACAATGAAAACTATCATATACCGATAGTTCAAAACAGATATCTCTATACAAGAATTAAATTATAACCAACAGATAAAAATTTCAAAATTTCAATATATGAATAACAATACATGTTTCATTCCACTTCCTAACTCAGTAAGGTTCTAACATATTCCCATCATTCACCTTCCTATTCAAAATCAATAATGTCTAAGGTTTTCCAACAAATATCTGTTTCTTTCAAAATTCATTTAGAAGAAAGATTTTCAAGATTTCAACTCAACTTATCAATACAACCATTTCCACAACATTTTCCATGTACCCATTTGAAAACTCATCTTTTATGCTCTCAAAATCAACCCAAATCATTCCAAATTAAACCCTAAATCAAATCCACAGCTCCCAAAACACTACTCTTTTCAAGGAACACATAACAAGATTAAGTACCATACAAAATACTAAAGAAATCCTTATCTCAAGGTATGAAGAGAATAGAAATAAATCCTAAAATTTGATGGAGACGGAGATAGATCTTGAACTTTTTCAGATTAAAATGATCACCTCTCCGAGGTTTACTTTTTAACCTAAAGCACCAAGACAACGAGATTTACGGATTTGAGTATATAGAGTGATTTATATAAGAACTAGAGAGAGAAAAGCTAAAGAAAATGGCTCAGAAAGTTTTTAGAGAGAGAGAGGGGGGAAGGAAAAAGTGAAAGAATATCTTTTCTTCGTACCTTTATATGCACAGACCGTTCGAGTGACTAAAACACCGCTCGCTCGAGCATTAGACAAAATACTGCTCGAGCGACCAACCCATAGCTCGAGCGAAGAAATCAAATTCCCATAAGCTTAACCTTGTAGAGTAGATTGCTCGAGTGAAGAATGACTCCCTCTCAGAATTTCCAACCTGCAAAGAGACCGTTACCCCTAGAAATTCAAATTGTAGACACTTATTTTAGGAGAAACGAAAGACCTCTCAAGCGAAGGAATGATCGCTCGAACGAATTCAACAACAATCAGACAAAAATTCCTTTGGAATACCAACTCTCAACCTGTTCGAAACATAACCCAACAATTCAAATATCCACTCTAACCCAACAACAAGGTAAGAAGGTGTTTAAACAACAACAATAAAAACGATAGATATTAGATTTCAAATCAAATAATATAAAAAGGGTCAGGTCTTAACCTGGGCCGCTATAGTGTGGGTCTATGACTTTTCATTTTAGCAAAAGTCACTTCTTAACTATTAAAGTCAATTTTTTTAAAAAAAATTATTTGGCATAAACTAAATAGGTGCACCTTTTTACTTTTCTACACATCTTTTTTGTAAAAAAGTCAAAAGTATACTTATTTAGATTATCCCAAACAATAACAAATCAAGATGAGAAAAAACCTTTTCCCGACTAAATATTTTAGTCACAAAAAAATATGACATTCTTTGGCGACTAAAATATTTTTTCGTAAAATATAATGCGACTAAAATATTTATTTTTTGGCGACTAAAATCTTTAGTCGTAAAAAACAACAGTGACTAAAATATTTGATGACTAAATGTGATATAAAATGGCAACTAAAATATTTAGTCACTAAATGTAGGAGTATTTTCGACAAAACGTATTAGCGACTAAACATTTTTAGTTGTTGAAAGAGAAATTTATTTTTATTTGAGAACTTTTGACGACTTCAATTTTAGTTGTCAAAAGGTGTCAATTAGGGACTGAGTTAGTTTTAGCAAAAAAGAAGACAATTAGCGACTAACATAATTTTAGTTGCCTATACTATCGCTGACAAGCCTTCAGCAACTAACTGGGCGATTAAAAAATTTTAGTCACTATTAACTTTCGACGAACTAAAAAATAAGAGGCTTTAATAACTAATTTTTTAATAGCCGATAGTGTATTTTCTTGTAATGAGTTCAAAGCTCTGTCTGCGTATTTTCTTCATTCATCTTCTTATTCTCTTCGGGCCTGGGTTTGGGATTTGGGATTTGATGGAGAGAGAAAGAGGCGTGAAAGGAACATGCCTTTTTTTTTTTGGTCAGATTTATGCCCAAAATGGCATCATTTTGAGATTTAAGCAAAGGGTCATTACGGTAATTTTGCCCACGCCAAAAAATTTCGTCCATCTAGCATTCAGGCTTTATATATAGGGATAGAAATATGCACAAAAATGGAGAGTGAAATTGACAACTTTTAATAATGCCTCATTTGAGAATATGTTTTTCTAGTAGTTTTTTTTTTTATTTTTTGGCTATATTATGATGTAAAAAAATTAATATGTTTAGGATGATTTTTTAATTTTTTATAAAAAGATATACAAAAAGTAGAGAAAAAAAAAATATTCTTTAACGTTTTGATATAAATTATTAATTTTTTAATTTTTTAATAAATTTGTAACTTTTTGACTAAAATTATTACTAACCAAACGAGGCCTAACTAAGCAAATAAATTGTTGACACAACTTGCTCCCAAATCAAACCCTAATGATAGCATTTAATACAGTTGTTAGTAGGGCCTACAACTTTTTTCCAGATAAGGAATTATACATTAGTGGAGTGCGAATTTTCTTTTTATTTTCTTTTTTTTTATAAAGAATAAAGCTTGAGACCCCACCCCCAGTGACCCCCAATGACCCCAGTGCCACGTGGCACCGCGTGATTGGAAGGAAAGGAAAAAAAATGTTTTTGGCCTACTGGGGGTGCTGGGGGTCCCTAGCACCACTGTTTTATAAAAGGCGATAAACATTATAAATATAAGTAAATTACAATTTGCACGTCTATATTTTGCATTAAATTTTATTTTAGTCTCTATATATCAGATCATGATAATTAACTCTTTATATTTTTGGTCAAAATCTCACTTTGGTCTCTACACATAAAATTGTGATAGTTAATCTCCTGCATTTTTACTCAAAAATCTCACTTTGATCTCTTTACAAGTGTTAATATCCCTCTTCTGTTATTTTATTTTTAAATATTTAACAAAATCTAATCATGTGACAAAAATATGACTATGAAATGAGGGTAAGAGAGAAAAATTATCCATGTTTCTCACCAATATACTTTGTCCTACCTAATAAGTACATGAGAGTAATATAATACTATATATATATATATATATTCGTATGGTAAAAATTAGGAAAAAATTATTCAATACTCCCGGAGTATTACGTATCCATACTCTAAACCAATCACCAATTAGTTAGCCTCATGTTGTCCCCACATCTCCAACATAAATCGTGGGCCCTTGTGTCTCTCCACCAATCAAAATCTTATGGAACACCACGTGTCTATATTTCAGGAGTACTGAATAATCACCCCAAATTAGGATGAAAATATAAGAAAGTAGAACTTTTGAAATTAAAAAAAAAATGCGGTAAAAAAAATCAAAGAGAAAGAAATATGAATAGACAAAAGACTATGTTACTGTGAAAAATAGAGTTTCGTGATTCCAATTTCTGCAAAATCCTAATTCATCTTTTTAGTTGTTCACAATCTGCACTTTTTTTAGCTTAATACAATCATATTTTGATGTAAATTTTGGGATAAAGTGTGTATTGGTAGAAAATGTGGATAATTTTCCTTTCTTACTTTCATGTCGTAATCATATTCTTTATCACATGATTAGATTCTATTAAAAATTAAAATAATTGAATAATAGAAATGGGACATTGACATTTAGGGTTGGTTTGAGATGTTCTTAAAAAGTGCGCTTTTTTACCTATTAGCTTATATGGGTTGGGTTTGGTGTGATGTGTTAGAGAAGTTATGTGATTTAAATAAGATGATGTGACTTAAATAGGATAGTGACTTTTTTATTTTTTGTATTATTTAGTAGATGCCAAACTTGGCCTTATATAGAGACCAAAGTGAAATTTTATAAAAGTACATAAGATTGATTGTTACAATTTCATGTGCAAGAATCAAAGTGAGATTTGACTAAAAATGTAAAAATAAACTGTCATAATTTTATGTATAGAGGCCAGACTAAAATTTAAGCTTGGTTTGGCATAATAAAAAAAAGCCAAGTAGTCAAAAAGTTACAATCCTATTTAAGTTACATCATGAAATCTCCCATTATTTTTCCCTTTTTCAGCAAATTTAATTACCTCATCTCGTTTTGTACGTCGTTATTAAAAAATTGTGAAATAACATTTATTTGTGATTGAAGAGGCAGGACTTCTCTGATCAGAAGAGAGGCGTGACTTTTGAGAGAGAGAGAGAGAGAGAGAGAAATCAAGGCCTTGGATCTTTGATCTCCATCTATTCTTTGGTTGTATGATCTGGAAATTCTTGTTCTACACTTGATTTGAGCATTTATCTGTAATATCGTTTGAATCTCTCTTATCTAAGTCGATCTAGGGCTCAAGGTTAGAGTTTTTTTTATATGGATTTGCTACATTCACACAAGATCTGTAACGCCCTCAAAATAATAACAATAAACCCATCAGATAAGACATGCATTTACATTTAAACTAAACACAAGATCTGTAGACTTTCATGGCTTAAACTAACGATTTATAGTTGATTTCTAGTTTCTTTTCTTCTGTTTTGTATTTTCTCTTTGTCGAATCAATTTTTCTAGGGTTTTCAGTGTCGTGTTATTGTCTTTGATCACGTACAGGATAAGCAAGCAGCGTTGGATCTGGATCGTTAGCAACAGTGAGTAAAAGCAAGCTCAACGATGTAGAGATGTAGATCTTATTCTCAGATCTGCTCTCTATCCAATTAGATCTGCTCTCTCTGTCTCTCCGATTTGCTATTATAGTAATATTAAATCTGCTTTTTCAATCTCTCCGATCGAATTTCACGTATTCTCTTCATTACTCTATGGGATTTGGACCTCTCTCTCTGTGTTTTTTATTGAATCTCATTATCTTTGTCACTCTATCACATTTTCCTTATAGAAAATGTCAAAACAATTTTTAAAATTGGTACTGGTGACTAGTTCGTTAGTACTCTCCTATGTTTATTGATGATGACCGATTTGTAGTTGAGGTTAGTATTCCTGATGCTGTGATTCTTATCCTACTGACATAAATTTTTTTCATGAATTTTTTTTTTTTTTTTTTTTTTTTAGCTTGTTGATATTGTGAATCTTATTGTACCATTTTCCTTGCATATCAAATGTTCGATAAAATGTGTCAATGGAAAAATTTTGTTATTTTTATTCTATCTTTTAATTTTTAGCCAAACACTGGAGAATAAAAATGATGATGAGACTTTTACTATAAAATAAACTTTTATCAATGTAGTATTTTCTGCCAATCTGAAAAGGGTGTTATCTGTCTACCATGGGATCTTGTGCATCCTTAATGATAATAATGTGAAAAATAGTTGTAGTGAGTTATGTAATCATCTATCTCACAAGGGGGTGTTTGGGAAGAAAAAAAATAGCCTAATTTAGGCTAAAATTCACAAAAAGACAAAATAGGCTAAAATAGCTAATAAGATAAAATATCATATCAAACCCATAGTCATTTCACTTTTTCTCTCACAAACATCACATCCAACCATAAAAAAAATCCAATCATCTTCCCAAACACAAAAATTTTAGCCTACTAAAATAGTCAAAAACTAAAATAGCCTACTAAAATAGCAACTTCCCAAACGAAGCCAATCTTTTTGTTGTCTATAATATTAGCTCCCATTATTTTTCCTGATATCCTCTTTGATATTATTGTTTTCTATGAGAAATATCAAATGCTCCATTTTTGGAGATAAATGTTCTGGACATTTGAAGATTCACCCACATTTTTAGTTTGATGTCAAACAAACTTGTCTAAATGGTTATTTTGATACTAAGAATAGTCATTATCAGGTTGGACTGTTATCAAGCATGAATATGAAGTAACTAGGCATCTATAGACTAAAGATTTTGATCCATAGCTTATTTGTTAAGTGACTTGTTTGTCATATTGTTCAGAACGGTCCTTTACTTTTGTTTGTAAATCTTACATTTTAATATTGAAATGGCAGAGGACGCACACTTTGCTTGTGATTTTCATTAGAAAGGTCAAGATGAAATAATAAAGTTCTCTATTATATATTTTCTTAAATGCTGGTTTCCTGATATTGAGATGATTTGAAAGAAAAAAATTTCTACATACAATTCTTTTATGAGTTAAATCCATGAAACATTGAAACAAATCTGGCAATCATTATATATCTTATATTTTGGGTTAGAAAGATCATTGTAATTATTCCTATTTTGAACTTCAAGGCTATGCCTGATCACAGTGTAATTATTCTTATTTGGTCGAATCCATTAGCTGGGAAGGACTAACATCTCTGAAGTCTCTTAACTGTTCTTTTTTTTTTTTAAGTTTAACTCAAGTCTTTCTTTAATATGTTCCTTCCAAGATATGATCAGAAAATTTTATAACAGAAACTTGAATATGCTGGTGTTACAGCTAAAGAGTCAAGTATATTCACTGTTGTTATTGCGTCTGCAACTAGTGATGGTTATTGAGCCTATTTGTCGTTCATAACCATTGTGCTATCAAACCACCACCATCACTTAAAAATATGGTAAAGACAAGACCCCCCCAACCTACAAGGGAGCCATTTGTTAGATTTCAAGAAGAATTCACTTTATATACAATTCACTGTTTGCTGATTTATAAAATCTCTTTTCTTCCAGATTATTGATGAAAAGTCTTTGATTAAAAAGTATCAAAGAGAAATATCAAGCCTCAAACTAGAACTTGATCACTGGCTACATTCAGACTTACAGTTTTTGAAGAGCCAAATTGAGGGGTTGTGATACAAGTAGGAAGAAAGCTTTTACAGGTAGAAAAAACATCAAGTTAGTTTCTTTTATTTGGTAATAGTCACAATAAAAAATACATTAGTCTAAAAGCAATATGGTCTCCTTATGTTCATACTCAATTTGATGGTTTATTATTCTCATTATCTGTGCAGAATATTAGGTCCTGTAGTTTGTCCTATTAGGAAAACTAACAGGTTATCATTGAATAATTCTTTTGTAACTTAGTGATCATCTTTTGATGTAGTCATTGTTAAGTGACCTAATAGTTGTAATGCTTGGATGGATGGTGTGACAACCTTTTTGTCCCCGAAAAAACTGCACTCTTGAACTATCGCCAGCTATAATTCTATCTAAAGCCTCCCCCTCTAGACTCCACAGGATATATATATATATATATATATGTATTTATTTATTTTTGCAAAATAGATGATAAAGAAAATATTGGAAAATTGATAGTCAATCATTCTCATGATTTGATTCTCACTGGAATTGCAGGTAAGCAGTAGTTTATTGCAAGAAACTGGGAGCACTAAAATTGGGACCATCCTTGGTTGGGGAATGGCAGCCATCTACATGGGCGGGCAGCTTCCACAAATTTGCTGAAATGTGAGAATTTCCATGTCATTTTTCTATTCCTCTACTCCTACTATAAAGTTTTTATTGTTTCTGATGGTGGTAACAAATACATCCAAACTGAGATTGCATGTATAGCATGATTAGTATTGGAAAAGAGAAATGGGCAGATCAGATATAGAGTCCTTCCCCTTTTGATGCTTTTCTAATAGCTTGTTATTTATCAAGAGGATTACAGAAAAATTCCTAAACAAAAAACCTAATAAGAACTTATATTTGCTGTTGACTATTTTTATTTATCAAAGTAATAGTAATAGTAATAATAATAATAATAACTGGGCTGATTAGATATTTGGCATGAATTTGTAGAATGGGTAAATGAATAAATAGAAGAATACGTGCCTTTTTGATTGACCTCATTTTTGTAAATTGGCTTTGAAAACCTTTCCATTTGTTTCTCAAACTTCATTTAATCTGTTTTAAATTGACTAGTCGATTATAGAAAAATTCCTAAAGAAGAAAAAATAATAACCAGGCTGATCAGATATTTGGCATGAATTTGCAGAATGGGTAAACGAGTAAATAAAAGAATACTTGCCTCGTTGATTGACCTCATTTCTTTAAATTGGCTTTAAAAACCTTTCCATTTGTTTCTCAAACTTTGTTTAATCCGTTTTAAAGTGACTAGTCAATTCAATGCTAATATTAGAAAATGGAATGCAGACTATCAAATCTAACTTGTGGTTGATTCTTGATATGTAGATTAGAAGGGGCAATGTTGAGGTAAGCATTTCCTCCTTTGATGTTCAGTACATAAATATTTATATAGTAATTCAAATGAGTGGAAAAATAGTCCCATTGCTTTGTGTAATTGTAAAACTCTAGAGGTTTAAGTCTAAATGCAGCCACTTGACAGTTGAATTATTAAATTGCTTTGTGAATTGTTTTGTGGTTCTCTTTTTTGGGTTTTGAAAGATGGTATTGAAGATAGTAGATCTTTTGAAGAATGATATAGCGATCCCGGTATTCCCTGTTGTTGTATAACTATAATCTGTGTCTTATTTAATGGGTTTAAAGCTATTATTTTGAGGGCGTTACAAATGAAATTCCATTTGAAGAAGGATCAATAGTTTTATCTGAAGATGTCAAGACTAGTTTAGTTCTACTCAACATCATCAATGGCATCTGCACCATTGGGCCTGGAAATCTGGTCTCTCTCCTCCCCTCTCTCTTTATCTTTTCATTATTACCCAGTTTCAATTATTTTGTAATGGATAGATTTTTCTTAACTTCAAATTACTATGGATTAGTCCATCAGTCTAACATGACCTTCTTTGATAATCAACTTCTTCATCTTCTAAGTTTAAAGTTTATATGTGTAGATTAGTAATGAAAAAATTAATTTGGTTTGATAATTGTAACTACATTATTTTTGGAGCTTGGCTTTTCAGGTGTAGCTTGCTGCTCTCTTCAAACCGACACAAGCTAGAATAAGACGATAGCCAAAAGAAATTACTGAATAAGTTGATAAAATAGATATATGATTGTTATTGATAGTGCAATACTAAATAAACGAGTATCTCCGCTAGATGGAAGAATATTCAAGCAATTTTGTCCCACATCTGCTAACCCACTTGTACAGCAGATTGTTTAAACTTGGCTTAAAGAACTTAGCGATTTTAAATTCTATTCAAGTTTAGCTTGTTCACAAAACCAGCTAATCTCAAATGAGTTTTTAACATGACACATATTGTTTGGTTCTCTTTGTGATCTGAAACTGAGTTGTTATGTTATGATGGTTGGGTTTGTGTTTGGTTGGTTGAGTGTTTTTTTCAGGCACCCACAGAGCCCAATAGTCAAATCAATGAAATGATTGATGAATCGGCAAGACTGGCGAAAGTGTTTTGCAACAAGAAATGGCCAGTTCTTGTATTTCTTAATTCCCACTATCCTGGAAAACTCGAACATCCCTATCCTCCTCATTGCATCATTGGCACTGATGAATCTAATTTGGTTCCTGGTATAAGTGCACTATGTTTTCTCTGTTTTTTTGATCTATGCATTCTATAATTCAATTCTCAGGCTCTCTCTTTCTCTCTCTCTCTCTCTCTCACATGTGCAGCTCTGAAATGGTTGGAGAAGGAACCAAATGTAACGATAAGGTGAAAAGATTGCTATGATGGATATCTGGCACTACGCCAAAACAGGGCATTAACGGCGGTTTTCATTACTGCCGTTAATGATACTATTAACGGCGGTAACGAAACCGCCGTTAATACCGCCGTTAATGTATCTTTAATGGCGGTTTCGTTGTCGCCGTAAAAAAAGTTGTCGCTAAAGTACCTTTAACGGCAGTAATGAAACCGCCGTGAAAAAAACTGCCACTAAAGCCCTCTTTTAACGGCGGTAACGAAACCGCCGCTAAAGCCCTCTCATTACCGCCGGTAATGATGGCGGTCTTTGCCGGCGGAGCTCTGGCGGAACTCCGGCGAGTGATGACCACGCGCGGCCAGAGGTTGAACATGACCATCTACAATAAAGCAAAAGTAGTGTTTAAATATTTATTTAGGGAATATACATCACATAGAGTGGCTGTGGTGGAGTGGTTGGTGTGTATGGATTAGAGGTCAAGGGTTCAAAACATAGGGGGTGTAAGAAGAGAGAATTATTTTTTTAAAAATTTGAACCTATTTACGGCGGTAAAGAACCGCCGTTTTTGGTTCTATATTACTGCCGTTTTTGGTAGACTTTTAACAACGGTAATTTACCTTTTTACGACGGTTGTATCTTTTTCGACACGAGTATAAACGACGGTAACGAAACCGCCGTTAAAGGCTTTAACGACGGTTTTACATCCTTTAACGGCGGTAAAAAACCGCCGCTAAAGTCCAATTTTGACGTAGTGTGGATTCAATGGAAGTGGATGGTTCTAGTGTGTTTGTGGGTGTAAGAAGAAAGAATTATTTTTTAAAAAATTTGAACCTATTTACGGCGGTAAAGAACCGCCGTTTTTGGTTCTATATTACTGCCGTTTTTTGTAGACTTTTAACAATGGTAATTTACCTTTTTACGACGGTTGTATCTTTTTCGACACGAGTATAAACGGCGGTAACGAAACCGCCGTTAAAGGCTTTAACGACGGTTTTACATCCTTTAACGGCGGTAAAAAACCGCCGCTAACGCCCAATTTTGACGTAGTGTGGATTCAATGGAAGTGGATGGTTCTAATGTGTTTGTGGATTGGGTGAAAAATAACCAGATTAAAGTTGTAAGTATATATATTTGCTATTAGTAGATGGATATAGATATTTCCATCAATCCTCAATCACTTTCACTTCGCATTATATCCGAAACAATTTGTCCAATTTTCATAGATGTCTTATTTTGTTTTAAGTGCAGGCACTCCAAATCATGGCAGAAAGTGAAGTTATTGTCATGAAGTAGTAGTGTGTCGTGATCTGTTCATGTTTGTAAATATTTTTAATTTTTTGTTATGTCATAAATTTCCATTGGTCAAATTTGTATTTTTCTAAAAAAATTTATGACTTAATTGGTTCCAATTTATTTTGAATGTTAAAGGTGATTAAATGTTTCAGTTATTGTGAATTGTGTGATTTGAATTTTGCTTTTGTTGGTTTTTTTCTTTTTTTTTTTTTTTTTTTTTTTTTTTTTTTTTTTGAGGGAGCAATTCATATTTGGAAAAAATTCTAATTAGGTTCAGATTTTTTTATTTTGAAAAAAAAATCTTGTAGCAACGTTTTAATAAAAACACCACTATAAGCTAGTATGGCGTCACTTGTGCGTAGGCTCTATGCTGGCGTTTAAAAAAACGCCGCAAAATAATTGGACGGCGTTCATAAAGGTCACTAAGTTATAGCGACGGCTGCATTATTGACGTAATTTTAAAACCCCAGTATATGTTTTGACGACATTTTTAATAGCTTTAACAACGTTTTTGAAACGCCGGTAAAAGTAAATTTCCTACATTATTTCATACCCCTTCTATACTCAATTTATATTTCATAAATAGTTAAAAAAATACATTTATTCAATTCACCCCAAATAATCCCGTACAAAATATAATTGTGCAAAGGGTTGTTTACCATAAATATTAATTTGTTAATATATTTTTACCTCTGGAATTGTCGCTTTTCCAAAGTTACATGCATTAGGTCAGGATCTGTCACATCGTGCACGTCTTTATAGATAATGCACGACTTTATTATGGACAATGCACGACTTTATTATGGACAGACCTCGTGGTGGGCTCAGAGCTGTCCAGGATTGTTGTGCAGTAATTATTGTCTATTTTCAGAATACAATAATACTTGAAACCACTTTTATTAAAAGTGGTGTTTTAAAAACACCACTAATAATGTGACAGTGAACAGAATTCATTGTTTGTGTCTTATTTTTTTTTATTTAAAATATTTTCCAACTTATTAGTAATGATTTAAAATATCATTTTCAATGAGATGTATCATTATCGCGTCAGATTATTTGCGTGTTCTTTCATATTAGCTCTGACGTAAATAATTTTATAAGCAAGGGAATTAATTATTTTAATAAATAATTTAAAAAAAAACCAAAAAGGGTGCCAACTTATTATGCCTCCGTTTGAGAAGTAGGTTGACTTTTTGATTTTTTAATTTTTTTAGCTATTTTAACTTGGGCTAAAAAGTTTAGTTTGAGAATGACTTTTTGACTTTTTTTATGAGAGAATAATGTAATAATTATGGATTGAATGTGATATTTTATTTTTTGTGATTAAAATAGTCTATTTTATCTTTTGTGACTAAAATAACCAAAAAAATCCGGTTTAACTCTTACCAAACGGACCCTATATATATAGGGGCACGTTGGGAAGAATCTTAAAAAGTCAATTTTTTGACTTTTTAATTTTTCTAGTGAAAAAAAGTTAACTTTTTCAATCAAAGAAGTCAATTTTTTTGTCAAAAAAAAGTTAAAAAGTCAATTTTTTTATCAATTTCCTAAAACACCACATGATCAAATATAATTGTTAGGTTAAAAGACTCTAAAATTTGAATACTAAATTTTCATAATTTTGAAAAGAGAAAAAATAATATATGACACCTCCCTTTATCTTCCTTCACACAATTCAGTCCTTCTTACTCACTATCCCCTATATAAAATACAAAATAAAAATAAAATAATAAAATATTCATTCATATCCACAATAATATTTATTTCACTCTTAATTTAATATCACATTATAAAAAACAAAAAAAACAAACCCACAACTCCTACAACTCCTCATATCCATCCTCGACAATAATATCTATCCACAACCCCTACAATTCCCATCCATCACCCACAATAATATTTATTCCACTCTCAATTTAATATCACGTTATTAATCCAAAAAAAAAAAAACCTACTCCTCATCTAATATTATTTCTTACTTTACATGCATTTTTTTTTAGTTTTGTTACTTTGTGTGTATATATTACTTTCTGTGTATATATTTCATTTTCTCAATATTTTTCAATTCATCTGCAAATTTTTTGATCTTTTCCATTTTTATACTTTATTTCTTACTTTACGTGTATTTGACAATGTTATTCTCTATCCATCTTTTATGCGAATAACTCATATTCTCTACTATTACATTTTATAAGTTTGATTATTATAAGGTCAGTATAATATTATTTATTATTTTATATGCATTTTCAATATTTGTTGTTTCGTGTGTATATATTTATTTTTTCTTGTATTTTTCTATTTATTTACACATCTTTTTCATTATTACATTTCACATAATTTAGACTTGTTTGCTTTTTAATTTATTTTATTTTTTAGCACGAAAAAAGGTTGTTCCCAAATTAATTGTTTGGTTTGTTTTTGGAAAAAAATTTTGAGAAAAATTCTCTACAAATAAATTTTTAAGAGTAATCAAACCAAACAAATTTTTTCAAAAAAAATCTCAAAATTTTGTTTGGTTTGCTTCTTTCCAAAATCACTCTCTCTCTCATATACATCAAATC